CTGGGTAAGAATAAACACACCGGCAACCGACACTCGCGTCTTGTGGTTTTGGCTCCCAATTCTTCACGCGGCGGTTCCTCTGCTCTCTCGGTCGTTCCGGGGCGTCTCGTTTGGGGGAGACCAGGCGCGTGGAGCGGGCGAGTATCGCGACGCCCGTTGGCTGTCCCTCCGGCCCGCGGTGCGCGTGAAACGCAGCTGGAAGCGCCGGGTGTAGCTAAGGAACACAGGGCGTAGATCTCGACGTACGTTGGGGCGGCTGCACTGGGCCCCGGGGCAGCTAGCCGAGCGCGCTTGCTTTGGTTTGGCTTTGTATTCTGGGCCGTTGATCCGGCCAAACCGTCACACCATCCGGTGGCACTCGGCTCGACTCTGTTCCTTGAAACACGCCAGCATCTCCAGCGACGTTTCCCTCCTGCGCTTTTAAATTCGGTCGCCCTGCAGAGCTCCCTCCGCGGCGCGTTTTCATTCTCGGCCCCCGGCTTTCCGTGCCGATTCCCAGCACAGCTGTTGTGTGGTGTGCAGAAGGTAAATAAGGAGGCTCTATTTACGCCTCCTCCTAAGACGAGACCGAGGGGTTGCCCAATGAAATGGAGAGGCTGCAGGTTCAGAAGAAACCAAAGCAAATATTTCTTCATACGCTGCACTGTTAACTGGTGGAACTCCTCGCCGGAGGATGTGGTGAAGGCCATAACAGGGTTCCATAAAGAGCTAGATCATGGAGGTTTCGGTCCATCGATGGCTGCTAGCCACGCTGGGTCGGGAGGGTATGCCTGGCCTCTTTGTCAAAAGCTGGGAATGGGTGATGGGAGGAATTGTTTGATTCCCTGTTCTGTTCACTCCCTCTGGGGTACCTGGCATTGGCCACTGTCGGCAAACAAGACCTTGGGATCTGGCCCCTCTCACCGGGATCCCCAGGTTGGCGCTTTTCCCGGCCTGCGCCTGGAGGTGCCTTCGCCCCCCGCGCAAAACCAACGGAGGAGGTTGGCTAAATCCCCACGAACGCTCTCCGCCGCCTGCTTCGGGAAGGAGCCTTTCCTGCCGCTTGCAGACTTGCCCTCCTTTCGGTTTTCTTCTTGCCGCTCCGGGTTTTTGCTCGGTTGGTGGATTAACCTGGTAAAAACCCAAGGAGACGGGCGCTACGTCTCGTCTTTCTCCGCGCTCCTGTGGTGTTCCCGACTGGTTCCAGATAACCTGCCTCTAGAGAACTCTCTCAAGGAAAGGGGTGTGACGATGCAGCGCCGGAGGTTTATGTCCGACAGGGCAGAGCTGGCCTGGAGTCCTTTAGGGGACGTGGCTCAGGGCCGAGGGCTGGCGGGGGGCGGCCCGTTAGGGAGAACTCTCTCAAGGAAAGGGGTGTGACGATGCAGCGCCGGAGGTTTATGTCCGACAGGGCAGAGCTGGCCTGGAGTCCTTTAGGGGACGTGGCTCAGGGCCGAGGGCTGGCGGGGGGCGGCCCGGGGGGGGCCAAGGGCTGGGGGGAAGGATTTGGGGCC